TTTAATTTCTTCATATTCAGTGCGATGTTTCGAACACGAACGCACAGCAGTCTACTTTTCATCGAATCAGCAAGATATCTGTATAGTTGACTATACTGAATTTTGGGGATAGATTTCCCGCTTTTGTTTAGGCTCACATCTCTGAACTGCATATTCTCGAGTACGAAACAAAGAAGAGTTGCAGGTGAAACTTGATGAGAGAAAGTGTTGTCTTCGACCTTGACTCCCTATTGATATAATTATAGCCATCAGAGCGTCAGGGGCAAAAAGAGTCCTGAATCTGACTCTTAAGAACGAACGTAAAGTTGCAGTTTATCTCAGTATTATGCTCGCTGTCACTTAACGCGCGTGTAATAATATAAATTTCCCTTCCTCTGAGGATAACTAAACTGTAATCATCGATAATAAAACACTAGATACGATGACATGATGAAATTTCTTGCGCTTCTTAAACGGAAAGATTTCCACATGTGAGAGAAGGGAATTTTCTTGAATATTTCATGATTTCTTGAGTTTTTGTTTAAGGGAAACGCAGTATTGCAAGGTCGTACTTATTCTTAACGTTAAAAGAGTTATGAATTCTAATTTTTTTTAAGTCCAAAGAGGCATTTTGCCCAGGACAACTATTAATTTCATTTTGGCATTTTGCATTGAAATGTCGGTTCACTTTTCATATTGTTGTCACCAATATTTAAAGAAATTAAATAATGAAGAATCTGCATAAATGTATGCATGTTTCTCGCATTGTGATAAAACAACGATACCTAGAGCCATCAAAGTTTGAGTAATGTACGTTTAAATATGGGCATCTGGAAGCCCAAATTTCGAATTTGTTTTATTATCTATTTTATATTTTGTAAAACTTTAACGAACTTTTGATTAACAAACTCAACGATTTAAAAGCTAGCAATGGCAACACTGTACGATTTTTTTTTTTTTTTTTTTTTTTTTTTTTTTTATCTCCAGCGTGCAAGACTGTGCATCGGAAATTCTGAAGATATGCTCAATATTTAACTATTTTGCGATATTGCTCTTGAACTGAATTTTATGGTTTAAGTGCGAAGAACGTAATATTTAATAAATAAAGGTAACAGACAAATGTATTAAAAAAAAAAGCGCCCCTTTGGACGTAATTTAAAATCTGAAACCTTTCAGGTTTTTTTTTTTTTTTTTTTTTTAACATGGGTCTTAACCCACTGACTGCTCGATTTGTAGACTGAAAAATCGCCTAAAAAATTATGTACTTTTTTGTTGCATATTTTAAACCTATATATTGGAGAACTGAAATATGCATTTTTTTCTTTCTAGAAAAGATTTTTTCATGAGAACTAAGCTGCCAGAAAAAAACAATTTCAGATGTTATACAAAAAAATTTTTTTCAATAAATTTAAATTGAATTACAGTTAATTTCTATTTATTACATAACACAAAAAAGTAAAATGTATAAAGCTTAAGAAAATATAATTCACTCAGAAAAAACACCTTAGAAAAGTAGTTTAGAATGATAAGAGTTTAAAACGGTTTCAAGGCAAAGTCCAGCTTGCCAGTCTTTGCGAATTTGTTTTTTCCATTTGCAACTTTCACCAATCGCTGAACGTTTTCTAGCAGCCATTTCCGATTAAAAAATGCGACAAACATAGTGAAGTAAACATAGCGGTAAATACCAAGTACAGTAGACTCCCAATTATCCGCGGAGCAAATTATCCACGCCTGCCACACATTGTTTTTGTTTTTTTACAAAGAAAATAAAAATGTTGACAAAACTGGGCGAAACCTTCAATTTGCTAACATTGTGCTTATTTATAGCAAAAATATCCCAGGCCTTCACGGAACCTTCCCCTCTGATGAGTTAAGTGATTTTTTACTCACCCTTGCAGTGCCTGCTCCACTGCCCTCTCTCGTCTTACTGACACGTCCACTTCCTCCCACTCGACATTGTTAGCTTAAGCCTGATAGTGTTTGCGAACCGGTCGGAGTTAATTTCTTATCTTTTACTGTGTTCAGTGCTTGTGCTTTCTGGTTTTGTGTTTTTCGTTACCGATTTAAGATGTCAGGAAAACGAAAGAAGGTTGTGTTGACGATTGCGCAAAAACTAGAATTAATTTCCAAAGTAGCAAACTGCACTACAAGGCAGTAGATGGAATTGGATTACGGAATATCGGAAACGACAGTGCGTGACATTCTAAAGCAAAAAGACAAAATGGTGAACTTTGCATCAACGTCGGACAGTGCTTCCGCAATGAAAACACGAAAACTATGAAGGGTTTTACCTTTGAAGAGCTAGACACGGCATTGACAGAGAGGTTAGCTCAAGTTCCAAAAGAGGGTATTCCTGTAAATGGCCCTATCATTGCGGTGAAGGCAAAAACCTTTTTTGAGTTGTTAGGCCTGAAAGGAAATTTTGATGCGTCTTCTGGATGGTTGACTCGTTTTAAGCAGTGACATGGAATTCGTGAAATTGGACTTCATGGGGAGAAACTTAGCAGTGACCAACAAGCAGCCGATGATTTCCACCATGAATTTGAAGAATTTGTTTTAAAAGAAGAGCTATCCTATGAACAAATTTACAATGCCGACGAATCAGGACTTTTGTGGAAATGTCTTCCCACACACACTTTAGCATTTGAAAGTGAAACTAAAGCGGCGGGTCATAAAAGCAGCAAGGAAAGGATCACTATCATGTCTTGCAGTAATGCTACCAGTGCACACAAACTTAGATTTGTTGTCATTGGAAAGTAAAAAAAAAAAGATCTTTCAAAGGCATAAGGATAGAAAATTTGCCCGTTGATTACTTTAACCAAAGAAAAGGATGGATGAACCGAAACATTTTTCAAGAAAGGTTCGAAAAAATCTTTGTTCTTCAAGTGCGTAAACATCTTAAATTGAAAAACCGGCTTGAAAAAGCTGTGCTATTGATTGAAAACACATCTTCTCACCCAGCAACAAGCGTGCTAAAGTTTTTTGATGGACAAATTTTTTCAAAGTTTCTCCCTCCAAATGTTAGTGTGCTAATCCAAACCATGAATTCAAGGAGTCATTGCAACAATAAACAGAACATACCCAAGCTGCTAATGACCAAAATTGAAGAAGGTTATGATCTGATAGAGTTTTGGAAACACTACACAATCTTGGCAGCATATAAGACATTGCATCTGCATGGGACTCAGTGAAACCGTCAACCCTCATAAAATCATGGAGAAAACTCATGCCTAATGTTGAAGCCAACAACCTAACCCCTTTGACTTGTGAAGAAGAGAATGAAGACACGCCCACGGCAACTCTTGCCGATATGGTGAAAACAGTTCTGGGTGAGTCCGGGTGCTGAAAACATTAACGAGTTGTTGATGAACCGAAGTTGTGACGTTAACGAACCTGGCTTCGAACGCTTGACAGATGACGAAATTGTGAAGAAAGCAAGGGGAGAGACCGAGAATGAAGGACAGCGAAGTGAAGGCGAAGAAGAGCCCACTGTGCAGATGCAGAAGACTCATGAATGGGTTTTGCAACAAGTCGACGACTGCTGAGCTATTTGGAAGAACAAGACGACGCGGAGTTGGCCGAGAAACTTATGCTACGAAAAATGCAATCTCGGATCAAGAGAAAATGCTTCCAAAGCAAGAAGCAAACACAAATGACTGATTTCTTCAAAAAGGTGTAGTTTTACAGTTATGCTTTTGTAATTACATAATACATTACAGTATTAAAACAGTACATACGTATTAATATTTCTGTGTATCTTTGACGCCTCTCGTAAGTATACAAAGCACTTTTCTGTTTTCATTAACAAAATGCATTTTAGGTTAGTTTCGAGTGATATACTAAAATATTAAGCGTTATTTAAACATTTCCTGCTTATTTTACGTTTTTTTTTTTTTTTTGTACATAAAACAATTCTTCAAAGTTGGAATGACTGTTTTCTCTTTTGCTATACCCGTTTTTAGCTTTTTTTCGGATTATCCGCGATTTTTGTTATCTGTGGCGGCCGCACCACCCAATTCCGCGGATAATCGGGAGTGTACTGTACCTTCAAATGCTGCAATTTAGCTGCTGCTAACAACATCTGTTGGTTAAAACCTAAATTAAACGTCTAATACTGTACATAATTGGCTAAATGCCGAAAAGGTGGGATGCACTCTTCAATAAAGGAAGAAAAACACATGCCCACGAAAATCGTGGGATGAGCAAATTTTGCTACATTTGAGTTGCCTGTGAAAATGGCAGGATGAGCAGGCAGATTCTGTCCTCAAATAAATTTTAGGAAAATGTATAGCATTCATTGTCAATATAGCCTGAGATATATCAGAGGCTTTAAAATACTGAATTAGGAATCGGTCTTAACTCGAATAAAAGAGGGAAAAAACTTTTGCTCTACAAATCACAAATTCAATTCCACTCCATTCGCTTTCTTTTCATTAAACAAGATGTCCTACTTAATTAATTATTAACTATATATTAGTCTTTCATTTAGTTTCAGATGAAGAAAGTTCTACTGAACCATTGAAATAGCTGCTTAAATTATGTCAATCTACACTTCTGTTACATTAAAAATTCATGTTTAAAGACCCAGTATTGATCATGTCAAAATTCTTCATAGTGCAATCTATGGTCCGGTTGTGTAGACTCACTGCCATGAAATTAATTCAATGAAATCATTAAACCTTAAACTAAGCATAAAAATTCACTGACCATTACATAATTACCCAAGCTTTAAAAAAAGCACTTTATTAAGCTGAAAGACAAAATTTAAAAGAATATTTAATCACTAACAAAAACCCACAAATTTGCTGAAACGAGATCATTTCAAGGAATACCAATTTACTTAAAGCTACATTCCCAACAAGTGATCACAGATGCTAAGAATATAACTATTATTAATACACTTAAAATTTCATAGCAGTAAAATCTATTTTTGTAAATAATACGAGGGGTATACATATTTAAATTGCAACAGATTAATTACTAAGCTCGATGCAATACCAGAAGGAAAAAAACTACACCAATTCCTACCAGCACATTTATTAATGTAATTTTTCAAAATCATCGTAACAACAATGTTGAAAATAATAAATACATAAAATAGTGTGTGTTACACAGATTAATTTATCATGCAAGCTTCATCCATAGGAGATGCTTATCACAAAATTATACTTCACATATACTTTTAGAACTACAGTGCAGCTCAACAGTTGCTGCTGTCCACTTGAAAGTAATCTCATATTTGTAACTTTTATTCAACATAACAAAAGAGTAATCTATTTTCATTGCCCTGTCATTTACATGAAAAGTCTTCATTTGAATAATAAATAAAATAACTTAAGATTACTGTACATTAAAATATGTACAGCCCTTTACATATATTTATATATTTTTTAAATGTTATAACAATCATTATTTCCAACAAGGAGTATTGTAACCATAAAATAAAATACATATATTGAGAATTATCTTTGAACTGATACTTGTACCATGGAAGAAAAATTCATGATAGTATGTATATATGTCAACTAGTTGTGAGATGTTACACCAATAAAATGGTAATGAGGAATGCATAACTTAAATTTATGGAGCAAAAATATACATTTGTTAAAGTACAGAAATGCAATCTGATGTATACTGATCACCAAATATGTTAATACAGAGTGTAACCAAGGTAACTAATTCACTTAAAAGCTATTAAGAATCTATTCTCATGGCTTAAAATTTGACATTTACAGTACATAATACAGCCCAATTTATTTATTTATATTTATTTAGAGTATTTTTTCACTTAATTATTAGAGTATTTCTTTCACTCAGTACATAAAAAGAACAATATCCAAGGCCTGCCCATCAAGATATGTGAGGATGCATAAGCATGCAGCTTAAGTCATTTTGAACAATAAAGGCTAATTGCAAAAATTCAGAACCCAGTACAGAAAATTTATTCAGAAAGCAAAGAAGCATGAAAGTTTAAATTCCTAATTAAATCCATTTCTATAACTGTAACTGGAATACATTACAGGAATAAAGAATTAGATGATATTTAAATGTTTCATGTCGATGGGTAGGTTATTTGCTAAGGCAAAGCCCACAAGAGCTATCTGCCTAAAGGGTTTCATTTGGAAGAGTTTTACATTAGAAACAAATTTTACATTAGTCATTTGATGTACATATGCATATTATGTATTAAACATACATCAAAACAATTTCAAAAACAGAACATCAGAGGTTAGTTCCCAATTACTGAAGTTGAATGAAAAAATGTTTTTCTACGCTCAAACATCTTAATTAGTGAAATTCAGCTCCGAAGCTAGCTATTTAAAATATGTCAGATACAAGTTTTTTTTTTTTTTTTTTTTTTTTTGGTTAAAAAGGTGTTAACCTAGCAGACTGAATTCGAAATAAAAGCAAAATCTATTAAATTAGACACATGTCAATCTACTTTGTGAAACTTTAGTTACAACCTGCATTATATAATCCTTAGGTCTAATGAAAATGGCTTTACAAGCAATATGATCACAGATCCAACTTTTTTTTAAAAAAACTTAATTTGTTTCCATATTTTCAGGTTGTGATTGGCTAAAGGCTTCACTGCCAGTTTGTTGCTCCTGTTTTTCTTCTTTTTCAGAAGTATTATTAGTGTCTTGCATTTCACTATCAGCAGGTGCAGTCTGCACCTCTTCAGCATTTTCTTGTGGTGGTTCTACTTTTGGTTTAGGCTTGGACAAAATCGGTTTCACTTGGTTCTCAAAATTCTGAAAGGAGACGCCAGACATTAAAAATAGCATTATTAAAATAAACAAGTTCGCAAATATTAAATATTTCCAATATTCAGCAAAATCACACTGCAACCCCTTTGACAAGGAAAATCATTTCTTAAAATATAAACAAGGATCTCCTTACAGTAGTCAACTGCACAGAAGTCCACAATCTTCTGGAATTACACAGATTATTTTGGGGATGTTTTACAGTATTTCACATAATACACTGTATCCAGTTTTCCCCATTTGAATGCAATCCATAAGAAAACAAAAGAACAACAAATTCAAAATTCAAGCAAGCATATAAAACTAGAATTTATAAAACATTCTTAGATGAACATATACTGCTTGACAACAGCTAAGGAAGCCATTTTTTGTCATAACTAATGAAATACAATGTTAAAAGATGAGACCTGGTACATATTCAATAGAGTATAATTATTATGCAAAATTCTTGCTCAAGGCAAGGTAAGTAGAAGAGAAATGCTCCTCAACAGTTGCTGAAAATGCCTGTTCTGCATAAATTAAGGACAGATTTGTCATTATTTTCACAGGGACACTACACTCCAAGGATACATAGTGTGATGTCCTTCAGCATGTGCTACAAATGCTGCCCACTGATTTGGGAACCCAAGGGATTTTTTTTTCCCCTTGTATTTGTCTCAAGGCAATTTCAAGTTCCTTTAAGGTTTGAGCAGTATTATTTGTCCACCACATCTCATGCATGCTCAAGTGATTTAGGTCAGGTATATATGCATGCTATGTCATACACTCTGTACCTTTCCATGTTGACATTTTATGGTCAGACACCGTCATACCACAGAAAATATGGACATGATCCAAGAGAATTTCAGTGCAATACTACTGTGATGTCAATGTATTTCCATTAAAGATGTGAATTCAATGCACATGATAGCTGCCCACAGAATTACCCCTTGACCACAGCAACCAGTTTCCAGAAGATTCTCTAACCATGGTAATAAGCTTCCCTACACACCAACTATATCAATATTCATTCCTGATGGTGAACTAAGATTCATCTGAGAACCATTCTAGATAGACCACTATTGCTGATACCAATGAATACACTCCTTACACCAATGTAATCTTTTTTGACAATGGTTCTTACAGCAGAATGAATGCAAAGGTATTTGTGTACATAAGCAAAAACTATTTAATCACAGAGAAATGTTTCTCACCAATGCGTACGCACTGGGAGCACTGGCTAGGTCTTCGGCTATCTACAGATAGGTCTATGCCTATATGCTTTCCGATGGCACCTCCATCTCTGCCACATAACTCTTGACATGCTTGTTACAGTGGCAATTTGAGGGGAACTTTGTTGTCTTAAGTCATCCCTGTCACCGCTTTCCACCAAAAATTAAAATTTGTTTTAAACTAATATTTTCAGAAAACAATGCACGATTTTTGAAATGTTACTGTTTGGAGCTCCACATAAGGTGAGTGCATTGACTTTTATACAGAAAAAAAGGTCCTACCCTATATTACCGACTGATGCTTACATTTCCTGCCACTGTGTGGCTTTTCAGAGCCAAAATATGCTCAAATTAGTTTTTAGCAGCACTATGATCAAATTTGTCATCAGATTATAATTAAGTTATAATTCATTTAGTGTTCATACATGCATTACAACCGCACCACATGCTCTGCTTATCATCTGTCCACAGTTTTTGAATTTCTCGATGGATCACTCAGCAATAAGGATTTGAACCTGCTTTCCTCATTTCATACACAGAAATCAAAACATAATATTAAAACTTCAAAACTGAAAATAGGATGTCTCCTCAAATGCATATTTTGCATGCAAAATGGCTATAACAGCACATCACACTTTCATTAACTCTCAACACATGTAATAGTTCAAACAAATGGGCATTAAAATTAGCCAAAACAATTACCAAAACAGCAATCTTAAACTGGGATAAATTTTTTCAAGTGCAATCAGAGACAGGTTCCTCTTATTCAGTCAGACTCCTGCATCTCAGTCATCTCCATAGCAAACCATACTCTACATATTTTCATTCTTTTCACTCTTCTGTTTCATATAAAATAGCCTCTTTTTTTTACTTTGCAATTTCTTGCTAAAGTACCCTAAGACACCATTCAATGAAACATGAGGTCAATCACTTATTTCACAATACATGTTACAGAAGATTGACATATCTAATAGATTTTTGGATGTTCTCTTAACACAATGTCCTCCGTTATCAAAATCTCGAACAAAATAATTCAGTAATATCCTTTTCATTTCCCAATTGACGATAAGGAATTAATGTTTTCTTAATTGTTTTTAAAAATTCCCAAGTGCAATAATTTTTCTGTCCTGCAGAACTGAAGAACACAAGGTAACAGATTCAGAAATCTTCTATGCAGCTATGGACAGACGAATCATACTGCACTTGCTTTCTCCATGGGGGAGTGTGTGAAAGTCCCCAACTAAAAAGGAAATGTCAACAGGTCTCAAAAACATCAAACTTTTATGGGCAGCAATTTTCAGAACTATAAATTCAAATAAAACACAGAAGTGCAATAATTAAAAAAGCTTTTTTACTTTATTTTTTTCAAGGTTTGCACAGTTCTGATCCCCTATTGATGCACAAACATATGCTGGTTTGGTTGACACAAACTGTTGGTCAACACAAATTTTATACACAAATCCCAAGTAGTCATGAATGAAATCAATGAATTATTATATCTGAAAAGTAACTTACTTCTCTCTCTTGCCTAATGACAGCAGCAGTAATAGGAGGATCTTCATGCTGCTGAAGTTTTGATAAAATTCCTAAATACTGGCCTAACCACTGTTCTTTTTCTTCCCATAATTTTCCAACCTATAATTAAGTATGTTACGTGTGTTTCAGTATAGATTTATAACTTCAGTAGCCAAAACGATATATAAAATTATCGAAATACGAAAATACCTTTGAGACTCAAAATTAAGGAAAATAAAATTTCAATACAGCTGTTGCTACTTTTTTCTTAAGTATTTTATACACAACTAGATATGACATTTAACCGTTTGCAGTTTATACATAGGTATCATGCTGATCAGAATCAATTCTCATTGAACAAACTATAATACATACTATGCAAGATTATGAAGCTTGTCGACTTATTACAATAAGATCAGTATGATTCTTTGCTGTGGTGACTGAGAGTAGACACATGACTGCAAAGGGTTAAATGAAACCCAAATTCAAACTTTAATATTTCGCATAAAAGAAAATTTACCTTCATCATTTCTTCTTCTTCGATATGTGCATATTGCTCTTCTTTAGCTGCATATGATTGTAAAGCTTTATGCACTAACTGTAGAGTCCTACCAAATTCATTAAGAGCAATAGGCCTTTGTTCCCACTCATTGTACCGATTCACAATTGGATCACCATATTTCTGAAAATTTACACAAAGTATTATGAAGTCTCCATAAACACAAGTTTTCTAAATCAGAAACCAATTAATACAATAATTTTTACTCACTTTTAAGTCATTTAGCCTTTGGATATATACACTTTTCTGCTGGTCTTCACCTTCATCGTACAGCCAATTTTCAGTTTCTTCCAAGCACGTTTTGAATTTATTCTTATCCTATAAACACGTAAACAGAAACAAAAATCCATTACGAAAAGTAGTTTGTTATATAAAAATTATTAAAATTCTATTCAAAATTTTAGCAATCTACATAACTCTCTGACCCACAAGGTCATATGTACATATGGCCTACAATATTTTTTGTCATCTTTGAAAGTATATACACTCACATCTTATAATGTACTCTAAATAAACGTATATGTAACACCCATGTACTCTAAATAAATTGCGTCCATGAATTTCATGCAATTTATTTAGAGTACATGAATTTCACATAATTAGGGTACATAAATTGCTCATTACATATGCTCGGGACCGATGATGTAATGAAAATAAAATTTTATTCACTCCACTGCAAATTAGTTTCATGGATTATGTCTTCAACTACTGAAAGATCGAATCAATCACTGAAAAATTAAAAGACATACATTGAAATAAATGTATAAAATTAAATACGTTGACATAACATGTTATATTCACTAAATGCAATAAAAATAAAAATTTACAACTTGCACGAAATCCAAAATTCATTTCCAAATTTAAAAAAAAAATGCTAAAAAAACATTTTATTTTACTGCATGCATGAGAAGTTACAATATTGGCAGTTTTATAATATTTTCTATGTCACAAGGAAGGCTTTTCTAAACTTGAAATCTCATTTTTCCTGAAGAAATATATTTTAATCTACTGATCTAGAAACGAATACCGATAAAAACATTAGCTGCTAATTTTGTACAGATAAATTTTTTTTAATTACAAGATTTAGTGAACAGTAGTAAATTTCAAAATGCAGGACTTTTGAGTCGTTAAGCCGATCGATACACACAATGTAAATACAAAATAATAAATGAAGATATAAAAAGGCGAACTCATAGTTTGGATGTCAAAACTCAAATTTAAAATAACAGGTTTATTACAACCAATAGAAACTTAATCTTAGAAAAATTAGGTCAAAAGAAAAGAAATTTTGGAAAAATCATTTTACTGTGAGAGATGGATTCATTTTTTAGTCATTTTACCATAACAAAAATACTACTTAGTACTTTACAGAATAATAAATACACTGCTTACATATTGGATATATAGCACAGGTGAAGTACAGTAAAAAATTATCAAAGTACTAACTTGTTTGACAGATATTAGCAGTTATGAACTGAACTGAATTTAAAAATTAAAAATGTCACTGGCAGCCTATCCACTGATTCAAAGCACTGCAAATGTAGTGACTGCATGCAAGTTTGTTTTTCTTCCTAAATAACATGAAGCCGAGCATGAAACACGATGACTGAGGTTTTGGATGAATTTTTCCCAAATTCATTATATGATTAAACAGCAGTTAATTATTTAAATGTTAATCACATTTTCAAAGCCAGTATATTCAACCAATAAGGCAAGAATTTCTTCTGCTTGGCCAAATGTAATGTCTCTTGGGCTTCAAATACCCTTTTAAAATCACAAAAATCAGATTTTGTAAGTTTCAGATTTTCTAGGGCATGTACAAATAAATAAAAAACACAGTTATGAAGTGGTTTGTAATGTCTAGCTTTCCTGGCCAATCACTGTTCTTGTTCTGAGAACCAATCAAATGTTAGTAACTGCCAGTAGAAGCTGACATGTTTACACTTGAAACAATTCATTACTTTGCTTTGTTCTGTAGGAGGAGGACCTGTTTCTTATACACTGCAATTACAAGTAGGAATTTTTGTAAAAATTTTTAATATTTAGTCAAGAAGCAATGACATAAAATAAAAGAGTAGATTGGACACCTAGAAAGAGATGTAAATATTATTGTGTTATGAGAAAGTGGTCTTTCCTATGCTGAAATTGCAAGACAGGTGGGTGGTTCAGTGACTACATCTGGAGTCCGAAAGTTTTGTTTACAATATCAGGAGTCAAATTCATAAAAAACGAAGAAGGAAAAGGCTGAAAAAGGTGCACCACATCTATTGATGACAGAAGAATAAAAAGACTATGTCTCCAAGATAGAAAAATGTCATCAGCGGCCATCAGAAGTGATCTAAATGATGCCGGTGTTTCCGTCAGTTCAAGAACAATCAGGAAAAGATTAACAGATGTTGGACTGAGAGGTAGAATTCCACGAAAAAAGCCTTATCTTAATTTTCAGCAATGAAAAAAAAAAAGACTACAGTGGGCAAAGGAACACATTAATTGGACAGATGATCAGTGGTCACAAGTTACATGGAGTGATGAAACTAAGATATCGTTATTTGGTAGTGATGGGCGAAAATATGTAAGACGTAGAATAGGAGAAGAACTACATCCTGACTGCATTCAAGCAACTGTGAAGAACCCAGTTAGTGTTATGATTTTGGTCATGCATGTCATCGATGGGACACTGAATGTCAGAAAATACATTGACACTATTCTAGAACCAAAACTTCTACCTTCCCATCAGAGATCTCTTTCACAACAATGCCTCGTTTATTTTTCAGCAGGATTCTGCTCCTTGCCACATGACCAAAATATCGAAAGAGTGGTTTCGTACAAAGAGCATTAAATTGTTGTCATGGCCAGGAAACAGTCCTGACCTCAAACCTATCGAAAATTTGTGGCACCGTTTGAAAACTCTTGTCCGAATGAGGCACCCATCAAATAAAAGGGAACTAATTGAGGCTATAATTATTTCCTGGCATCATGTAATAACGAAAGATCTTAAAACTCTTGTCAGCTAAATGAAACGTCGATGTGAAGCTGTAATAAAAAATAAAGGGTACCCTACTAAGTACTGATAACTCACTGCAATCATCACTATCTAATGTATATCGATAACTATTATTGTTTAACTTTTTTTGTATTGCAAATAATTGAATTTTGTGTTTTGTATCGAATTCAGTAATAAATTCTCTTTAAAATGATATATACAAGTTTGCATTTTGTGAAACGTAAAGTTTTCTATAAGCATACAAAGTTCAAAAACATAAAAATTTCAAAAAGTGTCCACAATTTTGGCCACCACTGTATATCACCATAGCATTGGACAGTTAACACTTGGCACGCAGGAAACGTATTTTTACGTTTTTTGCAGTCTGTCACTGCAGTGCGAGTTACGTAAAAATACGTATGGCATGCGGGCAAGGTATTTTTACGTTTTTTGCAGTCCATCACTGAAGCGCAGGTCACGTAAAAATACGTATTTAGTAGATTTGTGGTGGATACCCGCTAACCACCACAAACCTATTAAATACGTATCATTATATGTATGTGTGACATTATATGGGTGTTGTTTGCATTGCTAGGCAACGGCTTTGCATTTTTTCTTTCAACAAGTTATGATTGTCGAGTTACTTGGTCTTTTGTTGAGTTATTTCGTCTTCAATTGAATTCTTAGCTCCAGAACATACAAGTCATGTTTTTTTCAATTTGAAGCTTTTTTTTATTATTGATTAAATAAATTGATAAAATGAACTGTTGTAACAAAGATAGTGATGAAGAAATATGCGCTGACAGATTATCGGATTTTTTGTATGATAGTGATTCTGAAAGTCAAGATATTGAAGAAAGTGACAATGACATTATTCCACATTCTCAAGTGTTCATCCGAAGAAGAATTTCTAGTTCTGAAACAACTTCTGATAAAGAAGCAGATGAATGGTCATCGATTGACAATCCTCAACACCTTGAAGAGTTTTTGGGTCATCCTGGGATAACTAACATGGCTAATGTTCCTGAGAATCCACAGCTGAATTATTTATAGGCAATGACTTTTTTGCATATTTCGTCGCGGAATCAAACAAGTATTATTATCAAAATATGAATCAGTTCAAAATATCTCCCAAAAGCAGGAGATGGAGAGATATCATGATTCTGGAGATGAAGAAATTTTTGGGGCTTATTTTTTTCATGGGACAAGTTCGTAAAGACGCCCGAGACGATTATTGGTCAACTCATGTCTGCACAAGTACACCTTTTTTTTTTTTTTCAAAAACTATGTCAAGGCATACATTTTGCCAAATATGGAAGGCTTGGCATTTCAATAAGAATGAAGACATCACGGACGATTCTAATCGATTATTCAAAGTCAAGCCTATACTAAATTATTTTGTTGAAAAATTCAATAACATTTACAAACCGAAACAACAAGTATCATTAGATAAAGGCATAATACCTTGGAGAGGACAATTGTTTTTTAGAGTTTACAACACTGGAAAAAATTATAAAATACGGCATACTCATACGAATATTCTGAAAGTGACACTGGTTATATTTGCAATTTTGAAGTTTATGCAGCTGAAGGTGTATGTTTGATCAAAACGATACAGTAGTTTCAGCATATACTGATGTCTGGCACAATTTGTACATGGACAATTACTGCAACAGCGTCGCTAACACGGATGCCCTTTTACACACACACACACACAAAAAAAAAAAAAAAAAGAATTTGCGGAAGAATAGAGGTCTACCAGAATGCCTGAAAAAAAAAACTAATTTGAAAAAAGGAGAAACAATCATTCGAAGAAAAAAATGATATATTGGTACAAGTTTGGCAATCCAAGAAAGAAGTCAGTTTCATCTCTTCAATCCATTCCGCGGAAATGAAAGAAAGTAGTGAGTGAGCGCACCGCTATGATGGCTTCCGACCACGGACATGAACCAAATGGAATTATATACCACCACAGCGGGGAAGACTCCAGAGTAACAAGGTTGAATATTATATACTAATAAAAGTTTTTACATATTGATAACTGCAAGGCACTAAGCGTTATTTTGGTTATCTGCTTTAAGTTCTGAACATTTGAAACATTATAATATTATCAACGGTTGTTTCTGCTTAGGCAGTGTCTTGAGATTTTCTCTATTTTATCAAGGGCTATTCTGTTTTTGAGTGTGTTAGTCGTCCACATTGCCCAGGCACAGTCCGCTGGTTTCTTCAAGTGCCAGGTTCTTGTATGTACACAATGGAAGTAATGATCCGTGTCACCTTCCTCTCCGCATTCGCAGAAAGGACTATCCCTAAGTCTGAATCTGTTCAAATATACTGGGAATGGTCCATAACCTGTCAAGAACTGTGTTAGGCTAGCACAGTGGGTCTTTATTTCCATGTTAACTTTTAGCAGTAAGCGAAATTCCTTCGTTTTACCTCTGCCTCTGTCCATCTACTTTGCCAATTTTGCAGCAGACTTGTCAAAGTTGTTCACTTAATATGAGACCAAGGAAGTTTAGTTGGTCTTTCTAATATATCCGTGCAGTTGGCTGCCTGCTTGGCCAGTAGGTCAGCGGCTTCATTAGTAATGTTGATCATATTAAAAGATAAAAAATTATAAAGGCAAATGCTTTGATCGACTACAACAAGTACATGAAAGGAGTAGATTGGGCAAATCAGTATTTGTCCTACTATAGTAGTATTTTGCGTAAAACAGTGAAGTCGACACTGCGCTTAGCTATGTATATGATGAATTGTGCATTTTTCAATGCATATGTAGTATACAATTTGACAAAGATGCAAAAAATAAAGTACCAAAAATTTTTGCACAACATCGGTTACTGATGAACTACCTGAAATCAGCACTGAAGAACCAGAGCAAATGATATCAAAATGTGACACTCCTGGAAGATTCTCCATGGATATGTGCAAACACATATTGGAGAAAATTGTTGATGCCGGGAAGAAGAAAAATCCACAAAGACAACGTCACGTGTGCACAGACAAAATAGTGCAAAGTGAAACGTTTTTCAAATGTAGCTTCTGCAGTGTTCCTCTTCATAGAGGAAAATGTTTTGAACGGTACCATACTGTAAAGAACTATTAACATGTTATCAGTTCTATTTTACTTGTTATGAAAGAATATTTTTGAATACATTGTAAAATTTTAAAAATCGTTTATTTTTGTGATTTCGTAAAAATATCTTTTTTTTTTGGTTAAATAATCATACAGTATATATTTAAGTGTAAAATAAAAAAAGTTTCGTTCATAAAAACAAAGTAGTTTTTGATTTACTGCGATTTTCCTGAATAACCATACTTCTGCGCGATTTACGAAAAAATGCCCGCTGCACGCGTAAGTTCGCGGCGAAGTATACCCGCATGCCAAGTGCTAAAATTTTAATATTTCCATATCATACTAAAATGGATTAATAGTTCTTGGAATGACAGTGATGAAACTTAACGAAAAAAGGCTGATGTGCATTGCATGCATCTACCATAACTACGTTTATCAAATTCACCTATGGAATCCATACAGTTCACAGCAGTTCATCATCCATCCTTTGCTAAAATATTAATTTAATTATCCAGATTCTAAAATTGAATTCTGCTACATTTATTAGGGTAACTTGGCTAACAGTTAACTATTCTGCATTTGGCAACAAACCAGTTGTTAAAATTTATTCATTCCTCCATTGCATATCTACACATATTTTACAAAGATTTCAAGAGACTTCAAATTAAAAGATAAATCATAATATTCATAATACAAAATTCATCCAATTTTATAACAAAAACAAGGTTGTTCAAATTGAAAATGGTTGCAAATTAACACAAGCTAACGAAATTAGTAAACTTAACAATATTTTAATGAAACTTAATATGTGTGAAAATCTTTAAAAACTTACCTCTTCTGTGATAAACTTTTCTAGTTCTTCACACAACTTTCCACGCATTTCATAAACATACTCTTCAACAGCATTCTTTGCATCAGCCTTTTCCTTTTCCATTTTGTCTTGCATAATCATTTTTGCCTAGATTTTCAATAAAAATAAACTTTGTTGGCAAACAATAAATTTTTAAAAATTTGTAAGCAAACATTGCATGTCATAAACAAATATAGATGTTATATACACCAATTTTTTTCCACATTTTGATTCTCTGACTCAAATTACACGTAGATTTTAAATTATGTAAAATGTAATGCGTAATTTACGGAGAAATTCAAAAATTTATGTTAGCATAATTTTTTCAAGTTGCGCCAAGAATAATTGACTTGGCGAACTTCTTAATATAGGTAACCAATTTTTCTTTCCCTTCCATTATGCCAGAGTGGGGGGGGGAGGAAAGGCACCTCATTCTTACATTGTGCATGAGCGGGGGAAAAAAGGTTCCATCGTTCCTACTTTCAAATAATTTTAGGAAAGTGTCTAAACCACATTTGATGTTCTATCGCTTTCAACAAATATGCCAAATTTCAAAACACAAAAATATATAAATTCCCGTATATCTTCGAAAATTTTAAATAAAAAACTAATTTTTTTGTAGGTATGCTTAGAAATATGTTTACTTTAACCCATTCAGGAACAGCGTCACATATACGCGACACAAAGATTTTACTCCTACCAGCCCAGCGTACCGTATACGCGACGTAACAATTCTGTTCCTACCAGCCAAGTGTCACGTATACGTAACATTAAAGCAGAACGATTTATTTGAATTTTTAGAGGCCACTAAATGGAAATAAGTGGTAACTGTTTTCACATGGGTTGATTCATACAGCATTTTGACCTTCATGTACTGGCATTAGTTTTTGTTTTGTGCTTCTGGTTTTGATAGATTTATTGAAATAAACAAACTGGGATCGCAGCTCTTCATAAATGCACCTGTCTAGGGGCACAGGAATTTTTGTTTATTTCATTAAGTTTTCTCTTTTTTTTTTTTTCTATTTATTTTAGTTAATTAAAAAGTAACATTACAATATTATTCAAGGGGAAAGACTCAGCTTTCTCAATGCATAATGCATCTTACTCGCTCGCATTTCTCAGGAACGAGCCAGCATTTCTGTTTTTCTTACTCTATTTAATAGGTCATTATATATAATGACACAGGCAGTATATTTTGGTATATAATGTATTTACTTTACGTATAATGCATTTACATATAATGTATATATCGAGGTGATCAGTAACGAATATCCCAGGGGGTCTTTCCTTGATCACTTTTCGGTCATTGCGGAAACTGTTTTCTAATAAAAAAACAGGAAGTTTTCTAATATAAACCTGATGTCACACAGGGTTTGAGGATGAAATATTTCTGAGCGTCTTTTGAAGAAGTTTTGGGACATGGTGTTGGGGTTATATTCAGTTTCATTCCGTTAGCGATGGCTAAGAGACCTTACTTAAAAATCTTTTCCAAAATCACAGGACACTCGACCTTTCCATTAGGTACACAGTTTCCAAAAATTTACGTTGACGGGAAAGGTAAAAAAGGTAGGAGAAGATAAGTTGAGCGCACTAAAACCAAGGAAAAGCGAAAGCAAACAATGTATATTGAGTGCAAAATATGCAATGTAGGACTGTGTCTCAATCCTTGTTTTGAATTATTTCACACACAGCAGTTTTTAAATTGGAATTCTTCAGTTTTTTCTTAAAAGTTCGTATTTGTAATTTTTTTTTTAATGTTTATAGTATTTATTTGTGTGTGTATAGTTATGATTTTAGTATTCTACTTGTTTTATTTCTATTAATATGATATTCTATACATTAACACTCATTAAAAACAAGTACATTACATATGCAACTCTAAAAATGGAAGTAATAATATCAAAATGCTGATTTTATTTTTTTGTAAAATTAGGCTTAACTGCTGATAATGCTCGGGCCGGTGGCGAAGATCGATTTCAGCAGGTCCGGTCCCGTTACTGTGATTTGTTCTTCCTTAAGGGGTTAAGATGATGGCAAAAATTTTATAGATTATAATTCAAATTTTTTTTTAAAAAAATTTATGAAAATTATTTTAAAATACAAATTTTAAAAGTAAATAATAAAAAATGGTCGAATTTTATTTGGAATGAACCTGAATTTTGAAATGTGAAAGGAAGAATCAAATAAGGTTAATTAAAAAAAAAGAAAAGATTAATAAATATATACCAAACTCAATTTAACATTGAGAAGCTAAAATTTTGAGAGCCAATTTTTTAAATACTACTTGTGCAATTTTTACAAAACTTGGTAGTTTGGTGTAATTTGACTCGTAGATTCGAAATATGAAAAACAAAACTCTTTGCCTGATCGCCCTCGTAATAGATAGTTTTCTATCAATTATTATCTACATGAAAATAAAGATGCTCCTTTGCCTAATTTTACAAATACATTTAAGCATTCACCAGGTTTCTTACTCAGTCCTTTCTGAACTTTTGTTTTAGTCAAAATACTTCTATTTACTGCAATGCTACTACTTTTAATTATGCCATTCCCCTTGGTTACAGCAATGCTGAATTTCATACACTTGGAATTTAGTTTTTGTCACCAGTGTTACAAGCAATTCCCAGTTTTTCCAATGATGTATTTCGAAGAGAGCTACATCATTTTAACAGACGAAATTTACATACATTTCCCATTGCAGATTGTTACATGAACTATTTAAATTTTGTAATCGATAAAGCATTACTTTTAGCAACATTTCTATGAACAGCTATAAATTTCTAATGTACTCTTCTAATGATTTATTGGTTTGTACACACTTTCCGTACTTTCATCACATCACTTATAAAAATATTAATTAACTTACTTCTTTTTCTATAAGTTCATTTAACTCATTTCTACTTAAATGAGGTACCACTGAAGAAATAGGAAGCTCAACCGCTTTGACAACATTCTTTGATTTCTTTTGTTCAGGTTCTTTTTTCTCATCCTGCAAAAAATATAAATCTTAAATGGATACTTAAACAATTAAAAAACGTAATCTATTTTAATAATGACCATATGATTTAGGAAGTTGATACACAAAATCCTTCTCTTAACTTCAGGCAGAGCAAATAAAGAAAAAGGCTCACTAATTAATCTATGTACATTCTATACAGTGTTTGTATACATCTCTACATACAGGAATAAATACTTTTATGGATTGCCTTTCTCTGCCCGTTTGTGTAATAGCTTTGTGCAGAATTCTAGAGTTGTAACCTAGTTAATATACTGCTAAGTTAAAATAAGCTGATGAAGCACTAGAATGTGGTAAGTTGCTTGGTAAATCTCATTAGCTTTTCGGACTGGAACACTGCCAAGGATAACCTCGGCTTGATTTTCCCTGAAAAGACAGTGTTCAGTTATTCTGGTAGATACTCTGTGTTGGGAGATTAACTCACTTTAAAATGTAGAGATAATTTCTAAAATGAGCAATCATTTAGATCCATAATTGTTTTAAATTTGCATTATGATTATTAACCCTCTGAGCGTTACGATCGGAAAATTCCGTATACAAGGCTGACTTCTATATTCATTATACATGAAAATTTCTCCCAGCTTTTAGTGCATCTGAGTTCGGTTTGAATGTATATTGAAAGAAAAGGAATCAAGGTACAAAATGAGAGAGTCAATTTTTAATTAAAATTATGAAATTACCATTTATTAAGGACATTTTGAGGAACTTTGAAATTTCAGGGCTAAACTCGTAATGCTCGAAGGGTTAAATATCAAAATTACAATACTGGAAAATTTTACAGTTTAAAATAACAGAAAATTACACATGACATTGATTCTAAAACAATATTAAAATAATTATTTATTAAAGCTACAAAACAGGTATGCTTTGTAGCAACAACACTCCAGAATATATTTACGCATCTTTTTAATTTGAAAATATTCCCGGCATTTTAGCTAGTTTATAAGAATTTCCTTCTCTTAAACATCCAAGTTTTAGCATCAATAAACAAACCGGTATTTACAGTAGTATATGCATTATCTCCTTATGTCTGTCGTTAATATACCTTTGAAGAACATTTTCCATTTAATTTTACTTTTCTGGAATCTTTTAGTCTCAAATATATAAAATTTGCATTCAAATACCTCAAAACCTTATGGGGTGCAAGGTCAAAAACCAGAAAAAAAAAAAAAAAAAAAAAAAAAAAACTATCAACTCTGTAGGAGCAATAAGTCAGAACATTTTGGAACAAAAAAACGAAAAATTCAGGAAGAAAGTTTAGAGTGAAACAGTAAAAAACTGATACATATTTGAATATTACCATATAATTACACAGGAAAAAATTCTCACGAAAAAATGAAATTAAGCAGTTTATTTTTGCTAAGAAGCATTCGAAGCTGCACCTTACAGCATTTCTTATCCAGCTTTTCAGAATCAAAATATTCCTAAATCATCAAAACGTATGGTACATTTTAAAATATGAAAGGGAAATATAAAAAAAATATCATTTCTTAAAAATAATTCTTAATTTATGATATTTATCAATGTCACATTTGTAAAAAAACGGTTAGTCGAAAAATTTACAAATCTTCAAGTAAAATATTTTATATACAAATTGGTCTTATTGGCAAAATATTGATAAGAAAAGTTAGCACCACATAACAAAATTTATATCACCGTACGGGAAAAGTTGTTTTTATGCAGTATTTTAAGAAACCTTATTCCCCCCCTCCCCAATGGCAGGCACCATTACAGGCATTGGTCATCATTAAGTCTAGAATCGGTGTCACTTTATCATGGAGTCAGCTAAAAGGTGGGCCAATGTTGCTTCCTATGAAGGGACAGACAATTTACATCCATGCTCTCTCCATGATTCGAACCCAGGACATTCGGTATGACAATCAGAGTGACAAACCACTTTCCCAGCTGGATGGTGAAATCTTCATTTGCAAAAGAGAAAAAATTTGAAAATGTTTAGATCAAGATAGGGCTTAGTGTCTAGAAACTCAACTACTGCACTGTTTATATTAGGGCCCACCAGAAGCCATGCTGTATAGTTGTTGAACACTCATAGTTCAATGATAAGAACTCGCATTAAACTCACTTCTGATAAAGAAGCTGGTTACATGGGTGTTTTCATGTTTTTCGAATGTGTAATGTGGATATGAGCCAGTTTCCTTAGAATGTCCATCGCAAAGACAAGCCTTCCCTTCCCATAATCATATAAAACCAAACCCTTTAAGTTCAAAACAGAGATAAAGTTAAAGAATAACCATCAAATACATATTTGACAATGATTTACCAAATACTCCTGGAAAATATTAATTCACACTCAAAATGGCAGTCATAAAAAACACAGTGATTGACCAGTTGAAGCTCCAGTGCACTGCAATGTAGTATCTGAATGGTACATAAAAACAGAGGACATTCCAAGGAAAAACTTCCATGCAAGCTTGCTTCAGTCGACCACGTGAATGGTACCAAGCCCATACATACAGTTTCATTCAGAACACGAGCAGCTGTAGACAATTTCATGAAGAATATAAGCATTTGAGAAAGGGTGTATAGTGGCCAACTTGTAGGATCACTAGACATTTGAGTTAGAGGAATGCTAGCACTCAAAGTTGGTAGGAATGGGTGAACCATGGTCATACAGAACATAAAGATAAGCAGAGTGACAATGCTGACAAAACACTACAACAGAGCAAGCATCCAGTTGGTGCTCCTAGTACCTGATGCACCATTATTAACGATCTGACCCTGCAACTGGAGGACTAGTGACTGCAATGATCACTAATAAGCAACTCAGAGGCTGAGGTCATGGAGGCCACTGCACCAAGTGCCCCTCATCACTGCACACTACCAGGCACATCCACAGTGTGCAGCTGGGATCTCGCACACTGAACTAGAACTGTTTCCAAGAATGAGTCCCATATTGAAATGAGCCCCCCATAACCAGCAAAGATGCTACTAGAGACATTTAAGACAGTGGTGGGATAATCATCTGTCTGCAAAACAGCCCAACAATGCCATTTCATTTGATAGCCAGACACCTTTGGCTGTGACCTGTGAAACCTTTACAGCATGGCAGTATGGCAACAAGATTCCATGCCCAGTAGAGTCGACCTTCCTTTCATGGACTCCCAGGCCCTACACAGAATACCTTCCCATTGCTTGTCTTCCTGGTTCTCCAACCATTCCTTGACTGGCAAAATCACTGGTTCACAGCCCAATGAAGCACATTCCGACTCCGATGAGCAGGCATTTCTGATCATCCCAGGATCACATCAATCTAACTCACCAACTGGAACATGCAAGGCAAGTAATTATGCAGGACGACATCTGCCAACTCTACAAGTCAATGGCCAGTCAGATAACCACTTACATCAGGGCCAGAGATGGGCCAATGCATTATACAGTCTCCCTTCTTGTAGTCATATTTCCTGAATAAAACAATCAATATTAGCATTTTATTTTTGATATGTCTCCATCGCATGTACAGATTTTCCTTATACTCGGATAAATCTTTCTTGGTGCACCACTTTTATGTTAAGTTAGTGTTTTAAAAAACATGGCATCAAAAAATGATAAAAAACTACAATGAGCAAAAAGTGTAAATGCAAAATTAAAAAAATTAAACCACATTTTTACCCAAATCTTAGCAATTAGGTAATATTTTAAATAATTATACACAACATTTTTGGATTCAGCATTTAACCAAAATGAATTATTTTAAGTAAAATAATGAATTCAGAAGCTCAGAATTTGCAGGTTGACAAAAAGATGCTTACTATTAATAATACACTTTAACCTTTTGAGGATGGGGCGTTGGCTGCTGTAAGAGGCTTGAAAGGCAAGAATCTTGAACCTAATGAACCCCCTTTACGAAATCACTCCCTTCTTGCAACAAAGATCCTTGTGTGTTGTTTAATGGATTCTCAGTGGTGTTGATTTCTTACACACACACACACAAAAAAAAGAAGGGATTAGCGTATAGGCTTTTAGCTACTTTTCCTCAATGAGGGAAAAATAAACACAAAGGAATTTGAAAGAGATAAGTGTAAGACTCCAGAGATGTCAACTTCAACATTTCATCCCAATCTTTTAGCCAGGAAATAAGGGAAGAGGGGAGGGAACATGACCATTAAAAAAGACAATCCCATCCTTTCAAACAGGGAAGACAACTGATAATACAGTGGCCACCCATCCTGAAAAGGTTAAGTAACAAGTAATTATGCAGATGAACACACAAGAAAATATCAAACAGTTTTGAATATGGAAGCAATACGGAAAATGTTTCAAAATTTAACTGAATATATTAAAAACGTAATTTACAATTTTAAAGAGTAAAACGTTGTTACAGCACTATACTCTTCAAACTCATTTTTGGAAGTTCTAAACAAATAAATACTTTAGAAAAACTAACTTAAAAAAATGTCTTGCTCTAATACAATTTTCAATAATTAACATAGTTTATATACAGACATTTACCTTCTTATCAGTATTTTTTTCTTCATTTACATCACCATTGGTAGGAGCATTAACATTTTCAGAATCCATAGCTTCTTCACCCTTTGGTTTATTCTTTTTAGGGCTATTTGAAGTTTTTTCTGTGGACTGCACATTATTGTCAGTTTCATTTACTATAGTATTTTGCTTTTCTAGCATGGTAGCGGAACATATAGAGAAAATACCATGGATGTTAATACGAGCTTTAACCTTGACTTTAGTACTCTCACCTTCAGGTGTAGGTGTAACATTGTGAATGGTAAATGAACCTGTAACAGTAAGAATGGGCCAGTTTTTATATACATGCAGTACTCTATTGTTGAATAGCAAAATACAACAATCATAGGTTTACTAAAATTTTAAATCGCTAACATAAACTCTGGTCAAAAGTTGATATGATCTACACATTTCACCGTAACTTATAAAATGGAATTTTTCTAGTCTACCTACAGAAGTTTTTAAAAAGCTTTTCTAATTATTTTGTTCAGTTTTATACTACCTTTGATTACAATGCTTATTTCATTTGGCAACTATGAGCAAATTTTTCCCCTTTTTTCCATTCCTTCAAGTTTGTTTTTTGATTTCCTTTTCCAAGACCTCAAAAACCATGAAGGTAGGAAGATGATGCTTTTTGAATCGTGGCAGTTTTTATTATATTAATTGCATAGTAGTGGTTTCTAGGACCCATGTGTAGTGACAATCAAAAGAATCAGCTATTTCTTTCTCAGTTGTTAGAAACTTATCTACAAACCGTTCTAATTACTGAGCTTAGACAAGAAGTGTGTGTGCTCTTAGGGCATCCTTACTAAAATCAAGACACTCTACAAAACTTTCACCCCTTTCGAGCTGGGTAGCGAAAACGCGCACTTATCGCGGAGGCCGGCAGTGTCTTCCGCGAGCGTCTCTCCAGGGCCGGGGGCTTTTTTGCTACTAAGCCTAAATCCATGAAATTTCCGAAGTATCAACGCATTGTTTAATAATGCTCTATAGAGTATTTAAACGGTTTATGCTTTATAAATATTTTATATATATACTTTAATTACCTTATTTCTTGTTTAAATGCATATTTTACACATTTTATTTTAATTACTCACCATTTTGTGACTTTTAACATTATACATCTGAAAACTAAATACATTACTTAAAATTCTCTTTTTGTATGAAAAAAATTTGAAAACAGGGATCTACACACAGTCCTACATTACATTCCTTGAACTCGTAATAACTCATTTGCCGTTTTAGAGGATTTTTCCGGGAATGTGAACAAACGAAGCATCGTCGTCTCATTTTCTTATCAGTCTCTTCTGAACAAAGTTTTGGAAAATGTCTTTCAGTTAATCTTTCAGAATCAATATCAGAATTTCAGAATCAATATCTGAAATATTTTGCATCATTTCTGCTATTTCATGCTCTGTTAAACATTTTCGACGCTTCGACATTGCAACTGTAAAAACAGAAAGAATTCACGTCTAACAAGATCTAATTATTTTCTAAAAACTGAACTGTAAACGGAAATACTCAACGCTTTAGCGCATATAAAACTTCTACTTACAATAAACAACTACCACATGCGAATAAAGTGCGATTTAAAGAGACATCATAAATCACGCCTTCAGAAACGTTTAGTTCCCCGTTTGTTTATATAATCAAAAAGACGTGTATGTGAGTCATGCTTCTCTCATTTCGAGTAGAAGGTCTAATGTACATGTATCTGAAACCATATGGACATACAGTGCCATCTTGTGGCAGAAATTATAGTTTCTAAAACGTTCCAGGGTACTGGCACAAATACGTGACAGTCGGTAGTAAACGGGAAAATGCTCTGGCACGCCTGCGTGTCGGCCGGTAGGTGAGTGTGTTCGTTGCTGGCATGTAGACGCGAGAGTCGGCGCGAAGGGGTTAAAAGGCATGCCGCTTGGCCTCTCTAATAGCTTCCTGCAGGAAAGCTCTTCACCTACTAGTTTCTCAGGGTTCGTACACATTTCTGCACACGGAAATTAAGTACTTTTAAGGACCACCAATGAAAAAAATTAAGGACCTATGAGCAAATGGGAACTGAATAAATTCAATTAAAAATATTATTCTAGGCCTGAATTTTTTTGTAATACCATCCTAAAAGTAAAATAGATCCCTAAATGCACTATTACTAAACATGAAATTAACATAATTATCAATAAGTTTGAGAATAAAATAAACCTCATGTAGTTTATCAAGTACAGTCAAAAGTCGTTAATCCGGACACGTCGGGACTTTGGCGATTCCGGATTATAGATCATCAGTTTAAATCTCGTAAGATGGCATGCAGAAATTCTAAAATTAAAAATATGAAACCGTAATTTATGAAATAAAGAACAATTATGATCTAAAAGGTATCAAAATTTACAAAAAAAAACTTAATATTTATTTGTTTACTTTATTAAACATTTCTTTCAATGTAAGTTGTTTAAGTTGCTTTGTTTTATGTGATAATACTTTCTCTTTAATTCTATAAACGGACATAATTTCTTGTTCAGTTACGAAGTTCCGCTGTTCAAGTCCCGTAATTGCTGTGCTGAGAATACCGACTACCTTGTCAATTTAAATTTTTTCGTTTTCACTAACCTCTCTGTCACCTTCTTCATGTCTTTATCCATTTTTTGCAGCAATTCCACTTTTTGTTTGATTGACATCGAAACATACTTTCGTTTTGTAGATCGTTTGGGAGCTCCAGCATCGAAAATTCTATTTGATATAATCGAAAGTTCAAGTTTACTTTTATAGTATTGCTCTTACAGTCTGCAAAAAATAATAAGACGGATCCAATTCGAAAATTAAGGAACAACACAATCATCAACATTAACTGAAATAGATAATGAGATAATTTTAGCTTATTCCGTCCGTTATACATAAAACGCGCACGCGAAAACGTATTCTGCACTTGCGCACACGCATATGCGTAGACGTAAAAGGTCTTACGCGCACACGTAAACACCTATGCGCATGCGTCAACGCGGCGCATGCGCAGAAAGTTTTTAGCTTTGAGGTCCGGATTATAGATCATTCCGGATTATGGGTGTCCGAATTAACGACTTTTGACTGTAGCATTAAATATTTTACACTTATAATAGGTTGGACATATTTGAAAGAAGCGACATTTACGTTTTACTAATAGTTAGCTTAATGTTGATTTTATATAAGTCTCATTTTGTCACATACTTGGTCAGTCAGTCTAGAGCAGAGGTTCTCAATTGGTGGTACGCAAGAAAAAAATAGGTGGTACACAAAGAAGTAAAGCTTTTAACTATTTATTTCAAAAATTAAAACCCCAACATCCTGATTGAGATTTTTTTCTCTAACATTCGTAAATTTATGCAATATAAGCTTTGTTCCAAGATTGGTGGTGGTAATAGTACTTTGTAGCGGTGGTGCTAAAGGTTTTCGATTTTTATTTAGATGGTACACGTTAGTCAAAAGGTTGAGAACCGCTGGTCTATAGATTTAGTAAATAGAAGGTAGATTTTATGTCAAACGTCATAGGTTAAAATGAGAAGTAAGATCATAATCAGCATGATTCATAACAAAAGACTGAATGTTATCATCACTGCTGCTTGTCTAGAGAGATCTGCTAATATTTCCTTTTCATTAAGCATCTTTTCTAACAATTAGAAATTTTTCTCAATATGCAAACCAATGCTCTCGCTAGTTTCTGCGTGCTTTATCTCCTAACTTGTCGACCTCTCCACAATGTACCTACGAGGGTTTACTTGATCTGGTAAAGTTAAATAGTCCAAAACCTCCAATAGGCATGAAGCAAATTATCACTATATGTGAAAGTAACTACAATATCAGACAAAGGTTTAAATAAGGCTCTTATTTAAAAAGAACTTAAAGCAAACATAAAGGCATGTTCTGATGCTAACAAAGTCAATTACATCTCACGGTAACGTAATTAAACAAGAACAGTCAAATTCAAACTAAAAATGTGTACTAGTGGTCAAAGATTATACAATTTAACTTAAGAGATTTTGAGAGATAGTTTCGAGAATTTAATCTGGCCCAGTAACTCATATATGAGTATTCCCATTCCTATTTTCTCATATATCATATAGGAAATTATAGTAATTATAGAAAGAAATTACAGAAATGAGGAATTATAGTAACAGCTGAAATCATAAACAACTGGGTAATTTACGTAATAATAACTGCACATATCTTTCAAGAATAATTTTCTTTATATATTCAGTTTCTTTCTTCAACATGTTTCCTTTTCATTTTAGAATTTTTGGATTTAAGGATTTCTGTCATTCTAAAAAACACTAAATGCATTTAAAATGTATAGAAAAGCGGCTAATTTTATTTTTTTTAGTAACATGAACATTCAGAAGAAATATGATATATATGGTAAAGGCCAGTTACAGAGCTGATGTGGCAGAACTTTTAGAATTTAGCGACACACCAAGCAACAAAATCTTGAAATGGCAAAACTTTTACAATTTAGAGCAGACATTGGAAGCAGAATTCAAAAAGGCACTACGCAGCAAAATTTAGGATCCACAGAGATTGCATCAGGTGGGGAAATGCCTAGTGCCAGTATGATGCATTACGACATATTAGATGAATCTTTTAAATTGTCAGTTTCAATTTCTTTATTAATAAAAAAATCCCTTTCTATAATGCATGCCCATGTGATAAGATCAGAAGCATTTTTGATATTTTCCATGCTTGTGTCTAGTGAAAAGTAGAGAAAATAAAGGGAAGATAAACATGTTAAGAAAAAGATTCTAGTATCAGAAGTAAAACATTCAACTACAGTACACAGTCTGTAATCCGGACTCGTCGGGACTTCAGCGATTCCCGATTATCGGTTTTTCCGGATTATAGATCATCAATTTAAATCTGGTAAGATGGCATGCAGATATTATATAATTAAAAATATTAAACTGTTATTTATGAAATAAAGAGCAATTATGATCTAAAGGGTATCAAAATTTACAAAAAAAGGCTTAATATTTATTTGTTTACTTTATCAAACATTTTTTTCAATATGGGTATGCGTAAAGCATACATTGCGCATAGCCAAAATTAGAAAATTGCAACCAGAAAACTTTGATGTGTATTCGTGATATTTATAATGACGAGGGATTTGATTTAAATCATATCAAAGACGGAGTACATCGAGATGAAATACTACATTTAGTAAGGAATTATAAAGCAGAATAAAATAAAAACATCTGCCCTGAAGATGAGGATAGTGCTAACAGATTAACCTCCAGTTCATTGCGCACCACGA